ATTTTTTTTTTTTTTTTTTTTTTTTTTTTTTTTTTTTTTGAGGTAATGTCTCACTGTGTAGCTCTGGCTGTCCTAGAACTCACTATGTAGACCAGGCTGGCCTTGAACTAACAGAGATGCACCTGCCTTTGCCTCCCAAGTTTAAGGATTAAGAATTAAAATTTACAAATTTACATTTACTTATTAGTGTGTGTGTGTGTGTGTGTGTGTGTGTGTATGTGTATGACATGTGGAGGTCAGGACAATGTGTGGAAGTCAGTTCTGTCCTACCATGTGGCTTCCGGAGTTCCAGCTCAGGTTGTTGGTGTTGGTGGCAAGCACCTTCCCCTGCTGAGCCATCCTACTGGTGCAGCCCTTGGAATTTAAAAGGGAAAATGTCCCATTTAAAAACCCATTCTAAAAGCCCACACAGAGCCTGGTGCAGGAACTCAGGCCTTAAGAAGGAATGAGGGAAGATAAAGAGCCACACAATCACAAGCCTCGTCTTAATAATGCACATACAGTCAGCACACCAGGTGACTGTTAATCCCATTCCAGGTCCCCCCTGGCCCTCTTAATGGCTTCCAGCCATTTCCTCTTGGGATCTGGCCAGCATAAGCTCAGGAAATGCGAAGTTTTAATTCTGGAATCAGTAAAGCATATTAGCAAAGGAAATCCACAAATAAAAAACAATCACGTTATGAATTTCAAAGCCACGGGAAAGGACCGAAGGTCAGACCGTGAACTGCTGGGGCAGAAGTCCCTTCATTCATTTTGTGCAGCTCTTGACTGCTGACTGACTCACTACACTGCACTGCGGGATGTTTTTCAAGAACATTCAGATTGAGATGATTTTTCTTCCTTCTTGACAGGGGTTCCCCAAGTGCTAGGATCAAGGGCGTGTGCCACCAGTGCCTGGCTTCTTTTAAATGAGTCTGCTTTGTGTGTGGGGAATCCACATGCACAAGGAAGGGTGCCAGGGTACCAGCCTTGAGCATCATCCCCAGGAACACCTCTCCTTCCCTTGACACAGGGTCTCTCACTGGTCTCACCCATTAGGTTAGACTATTAGGAAGCAAACCAGGGTCCCTCCTGTCTCTGCCTCCCAGGTGGGTCCTGGGGATTCCCGGCAGAGCATAGAATGTTCTCTTCTGAGGCTCAAGTCTGGTCCTATTTATGAGGCAAGCTCTTTACCATTTTATTCTGCAGCCTCCTGGCCTCAAACTCACAAACCTTCTTCCCCAAACCATCGAAATGCTGGAGTATTCAGGCATGCCTGGTGCCTTTTTTTTAATACCGTATATACGCTCAGTGGTATGCTGGATGCTTTCACACTTTCTCACAGCAATATCCTAATAAAAGTGACTGCTCAAAAGCACTTTGGGGCAGATGTAGCTCAGTTGGGAGATTTTTTACCCAGCACCTATCAGGTTCTGGGTTCAATCCCCGGCACTACATAAACCAGATAAGGCAAATGCCTATAATCCCAGTAGGGATTAGAGACAGGAGGATCTGAAGTTCCAAAGGTAACTTCAACTATGAAGTGAGTTTGAGGTCACCAGCCTGGGATACACGAGCTCCTCTCACAGCTAGAAAAAAAAGAGGTAGGAGCAGGCTGTAGAACACCTGTAAGGATATTTTTGTTTGTCCTAGGGACTGGGCCTGTTGCCTACTGCATGCAAGGCATGTGAGAGCTATTCTCAGCCCTACCCTGTTGTGTCATTAGTGTTTATTTCTGACTCTGATTTCAGGATAGTAATGCCCCACACCAGCCCTGTGAGGTGAGCCCTGGGCCTTGGCTTCCTGAGTTAATCATTCACCTGGGGCTGGCTGCTCAGAAGGGAACCATAAGAATGCAGGCTCCAAGACCTCTGCCTACAGGAGAGGCAGATAATGCACACCACTCCACAGCTTCCATCCAGTGCCAGCAGCGCTGTGAGTTACAGATGTTCACTTCCATTTTCCCAGACAGCAATTCTTGGAGTAGGAAAACAATGACCTGACTAGCAGGATGTGGACTTCAAGTTCAGCCTATTCAAGTCAAAGATGTACTTGCCTAGTTAGGACCCCGATTCCAATCCCAAACACCATAAACACAACCAAAGAAGCCCACATCAAAACAGAAACTCTTTTGAGGCAAGGTTTCATATAGCCTAGGCTGGCCTCCAGCTTCTTCTTCCTGTTGTTTTCAATACTCAAGCTGATATCTGCCTGCCTCTGTGCTGGGATTAAAGGTGTGCAATAAAATGCCCAGCGGATGTGCAGATTTTTAGTATAATTACATTTTATAAGCACAAGTGCCCTCAGAGGGTGTCAGCGACCCTGATCTCCAACTCTTTATCCTCTTGCCCTTAACACACACTCAACTCTGGCTTCATTTGCCCAGGACACAACTTTCTTCTTGTTGCAAGGGCATTAGGGTTTTTCTTTTATCCTCTCTTGAAAGCCAAGGCTCTACTACATTTTCCTTTTAGGGCGGGGATAAGGGCTAGGCGGCAGAACATGGGTTCAATTCCCTAACACACCACAGCAACAAAATATGGAAATTATTTTGGAAATACATGGAAAGCAAAATTCAGCATGGCGGTGGGGTAGAATGTGTACCTTGCAAGCACAGGCAAAACAAATGAATAAACCTTTGAATGGCAGGGAGAAAACTTCTTCCATTTTTTAATCTAGACTTAAGGACTTGGCCCGGGACAGAAAACTTCTAGCCCAGGTCACTTACTCTTTATATTTCTTCTCCTGATGAATAATCATTACAATCTTATAGAAACCTACTTACTGTGAGTAGGGCATTTCTTCCCCACGAAGGGAGCATGATAGTAGCGCAAACAAGCAAGAAGCCATTGCACTGCAAAGAACTGAATTTATCTAATCCCAGGGGCAGGATACCAATAATTAATACTTGATATAAAACATTCTGATGCTCAGGGTGGGTAAGAAACTTGTGTGAGCTTCAACTTGGACCCAGACAGTCAATACAAAGTAAACCAAAATTCTTCACACTTGATATGTTGGGGACTCAGGGCTTACTGTGAGCTTAGTGAGAACCCTTGACCTCAAATTTCCAGATTTCACATAAAGTGTATACAACACACATATACATACTCAAAAACAAAACAAACCTAAATAGCAAAAGCCAGCTAGCCAGCCAGCCAGCCAGCCAGCCAGCCAACCAACCAACCAACCTCCATACTCACACATGCTTTTGTATGGAGTAAATAGTGATGGAAGCTAAAAGCCTCAGCCAGAGCCATTAATCCCAAAACTTGGGAAGCAAAGGCAGGAGTATCTCCGAGTTTACACAGAGCTCCAGGACAGCCAGGTTACATAGAGAGCCTGTGTCAGAAAGTAATGTGCTGAACCTACCTGGCCATCCCCGAATCACTCTAGTCCAGATACTACCTGGCCTCAGGCCAGGCAAGTTTGGGTTGTCATTTCCCATCAGGTACTGAAGCATCACTCGGTTACCCAAGTCTATCATTAACTTCTTTCTTCATGGCTTCCAGGCACTGTGCCTGATTTGTTACCCTGTAAACTATGTGCTAGGGAGGATGCAGCTCAAGACATTCAGGTTTTAAGATAAACACTCAAACAATACCTCGTCTGTCACTCTGAAATTCATACGTTGGTGTCTGCCTCTAAGCCCAGCACTTGGAAGGCGAAGGCAGGCGGACCTCTGAGCTCCAGGCCAGCCTTTTCTACATAGTGAGACCTCGTTTAAAAAAGATCTGCTATACATGAACGAGGACACCAATAGGCATGCTAATGTGGAAGGAGGTCTTCCCCTCACACAAGTAACATATGGCCCAAGCAGGTTGTATTTCTATATTTAGGAACATGTATACAATTATAAAGAAAGAGACCATAAATTTCAGTGAGAACAAGGAAGGATGTACATGGGAGGGGTTTGAAGGAAGAAAGGTAAACAACGATTTAACTATAAACTAAAAACAAAGCAAAAAACCCAAACCAACCAAACTATTCATCTCAGATGGTAAAGGTGTTCCCAATTTCATTTGTGTGATTTGCTTGTACTCGTCTTAATTTCTAAGCAGACACTACAACCCCGTAAACAGAAATAAAATTTCAAAGGGAACGAGGAAGGGACAGAGGCCTGTGCTAACTGTTACACAGACTTCACTAACACTGATCTTGTGTAAATTCCATGGACTGTGGTTATAGCCCAGGGACAGAGCAATTGCCGGAACCAAACCTCTTTAATGGGAAAAACACCAGGACTGAGCACTTAGCAAAGTTTAGTTGCAAGTTCCAGTTTTACGGCAGCTTGGGTTTTGACTACAGATGCAGAACCCTTCTTTCTGAAGACTGAAGGTGATCCTGCATCATACTGCCTGGGGCTCAATCCATCCTGAGCACACAAGACACTTGCCCAGAAAATGCAGCGTTAGCAGCCGAGATGGAACAGGATTTAAACACAACTCCAGATTCCATCCTTAACAGAAACTTCCATTTTTATAGAAAAGAAATGTTCACAGAGATTCAACATGGCTTCACAGAAGAGGCAGAGTACAGACTGCAGTGATATCTGCCGAAACCTTCAAGGTTCCCTCTGTAAATTTCTGCCACAACACTATATATTGCAAGTTTTCCCTTGTGTCATTAAGGCTGACTGCATCAGGCAATAGCAGTTCGAGACACGTGGTTTTAAAGGTTTAAAATCTTTCCCTGCTTGTCTTCAAGGAGAAAAATCAACATAAAATAAGCCACATGCACAAGTCAAGGCATATAAACTGATGATTCAATATCAGAAAGGTCAAAATAAAAAGAAATAAAAATGATGACACAATATACCTCACAAATAAACATGTGGAAGAACTGTTTTCTAAAAATAAAATAAATGCTTTATTTGGAAAAAGTCAGCTTCTTACACAAGGTTGTAAATCTCTATTTTCACCCTGTCAATTACAATGGTATTTTAAATGCATTGAGTACAATTCAGTGTTATATATCTTATCCCTTCTGCCTCTATTTAGAAGACATCGGTTAAAAAAAAATTCAATCTGGTCATCTTTCCTCCTATCCTCATGCTGAACCCATTTTTCTACATTTCAGGGAAGTGAAAGGGTCAGAAAGCTAAGGACTGCGGAGGTAAGACTACGTCAAATAATTGCAAGCATGATAGAAGTTTCTCCTTAAGCCTTGGTGTGTGTTGGCAGGGAGGTGGGTACTTACTGAAACCAAACCCACCCAAGAAGTCCCTCCCAATTTTATCTTTATTGGCTTCCTTGGGGCCAAATTTTGGCTCTCTTGATTTCAAAAATACTGAAAAACAATGTAAAAAACAAATAGCATACACTTCCTGTCTGTACTGAGTATCTCACACACAGCTCTAAACGAGGATATAAATGGAACTATCAAAAAAATCAAAAGAGAAAAGTTTCAGAGGTTAAGGAGGGCTCCAGGGTACTGGTGGGGTGTGGCTCATGGTACAGCATGCGCTTAGCATGCTTGTGGCCTTGGGCTCAATCCTCAAGACCCCAAAGCCCCCAAACCCACACACTCAGATTCCAAGAGTCTCATATCCATATCATAACTAGGGTATTGGGAAAACCTAAGATGAATTCAGCTGATGCTTGAAATACCTGTCTACGTGAAATCAGACGTGTTGAAAAAATGTTTTATAGATTTTAATACTTTCTCAGTTGATTTCAAAAATGGCCAATAACCTCTGACCCACTCCATGTCTCTGGATAGGAGCAAAGGTGGCAATTTAGTGACAACACTAGCACTAGGCTTGGAGTAAGCATCTGAGAAGACAAGGAACCCAGCAGGTGACAGACTATGGCTGAAACAGCCAAGATGTTTCCAGAATTATATGTTCTAAATTTCTTAAATATATACCTAGCAGGCACATACGCCAGGCAACTATGATGCTAGAAAAATACTTGAGTCAGTATTTTATAAACCTCCTACTTTTAACCAATATTTCTATTGATAAATGTTCTGGTAACAATGTCTGACAAAGCATTACAAACAAAACGAGATTAAGGTTAGAGTTACCTCAAGCAAGCTAGTTGTTATTTTTCCTTTCAAAATGACATTGAAAATAGATGAATTCAGCAGAATGGTTTTAAAAGTTAAGGCCCTCTAAAGAGTTCTAAAAACTAAAACTTAAGGCACATATTATAATCTTCATGACACTGTTAAAAGCTAAGATTAAAACAAAACAAAACAAAACAAAATATCCCCACTTCTTTCCCATATCCTTTGCCAAACACTCCCTACCTAAAGCATAGTATATTTTAAATTCAGGGATTGGTAAGGAGTGGAAAAAAAAAAATCCACCAATGAACACCTGGTAGGTTTTCACACAAATGTCCACTGTCTGCATTAAGCACCACTGGTAGACTAGAGGCCAGCAGGATGGTTTCAGATGTTTGGGTCACACACTGCTCTACTATTCGCTTCACAGGTCAGACAGGACTCTCCTCCTCTGCAGGGTCTCCGGAGCTATTCTGCTGTGGCGTGGACTGTGCAGCTTTTGTTGCCTCCTTTGGCTTTTCATCAACATCTGTGCTGGCGTCGTCCTCTTTACCTTCCCGTTTTTGCTTCTCCTCTGCTTTCTGTTCTCTGGCCACCAGTCGATAGTTGATGCCCATGCCAATGAAGAGGTACATGCCTGCGATGATGAGGATCACGCCACAAGCCCAGTACGTGTATTTGTAGTCTCCATACATGTCATTGAGGCGGCCTGAAGATGCAGAAAACAAGGCTCTGTGGGTAAGAACGAACAAAGGATACCTCTCTCATAGTGTAAGGATCCACTCAGGAAGATGCCAAACCAGCCTTCAAAGAGCCCAGGAATGAGGCATTAGTACAAAATTATCTCTGATTTTGACTGGCCTTATACTTTCTATTTTCAAATTGAAAACAATCAACTCTGCAAATCCCAATGATAATGGTCAGAGAACACAATCCATTCTCTCACTACACAATTGGAAAAACTGTAATTCAAAGGAAGTTTGAGAGTGTCCAAGGCTACACAGATCTACTCCAGTCACCAAGGCCAATGCTCTTTATCAGCGCTTCTGCGGAACACTTGCTCTGTAGCCAACAGTACTCTCAGCACCAAATGTGTAATGAAATGTATCTTCCAGTGGTTACAGAAACTCAAGCACCAGAACAGTAATAACTTCAAGGTTACAGGCTAGCCAAGGAGTGCAGGGGTCCAAGGTGGGGCCTGAACCTGCCACCTCTGCTACAGGAAACCTCTCTACTATTTATTGACAACAAATGAATTTGGAAAATGGCTCATCACATCCTCTCCCAAAAGCTTGTGTTGTCTGACGGTAATGACACCACTTGACCAATTTGAATGGATCTCTATATGGCTATCACACAAACAGACAAGTGCTACATTGTGGGTTCTGGTACCAGAACATGAGTGATGGAGACTAGCGAGTGGGTGAAGAATGCTGCTTCTATTGAAACATCACTTGAGCTGAGACAACAGAAAGAGGGATCTGTCAAGGAAAAGAGGGTGGAGAGGCTCTAGGCCTGAACAGCCAATGCAAAGGCACAGGTAGTGTATGAGCAGGAAAGCAAGGGTTGGGTGCTAGAGCAGAGAGCAATGGGCCAGGTAGGAAGGTTGGAGAAACAGGTAGGGCCAAGCTCTGCAGAGCCTTGGAAGCCACATTAGGAAATGGGATGCTGAAGGAAGACAGGAGTTTGTAAAAGGGTGAAAGACATGGTAAGGGGCAAACCAGGAAGAATGGAAGATGGAAACTGATATTTGTAATTTACCAGGGAGGACCTGGAAAGGAGCACTATCAAAAGCCACCTCTAAGCATGGTGACACCTGCCTATAAACCTAGCACTTAGGGGAGGACATGGAAGGGGTCAGGAGGTGTTCCGGGCAATCTTTGGTTATAGAACAAATTTAAGGTCAACTGGTTGATTAAGATCCTGTCTCCAAATAAATCGCCATGAATATCTTAAAAGGAAGTAGGAACATGAGATGATCTCATCGTGCAGGCCAATGCTGATCTTGAACCCAAAACCATCTTGCCTTAGCATCCAAGTGCTGGAGTAACAGGTGTGCACCACCAGCCCAACTTGGGACTTTAAAAAAAAGATCAAGCCTAGTGGTGGTGGTAGTATGTGCCTTTAAACCCAGAACTTTAGGCTCCACCTCCCTCTGAGTTTGAGGCCAGCCTGGTCTACAGAGAAAGTTTCAGGACAGCAGAGCTACATAGAGAAATTTTGCTAAAAAAAAAAAACAAAAAACAAAAACAAAAAACAAAAAAACACAAAACCCAAATCAAACAAGCAAACAAAAAGAAAGTTTAGTAACCCAAGCTCTCAAATTATATAACTCATAAACTAATGTAGCTAAGCCCAATTATCCCACCTTCTGAAGCTTTTGCCTCTACTTATGAAACTGCTACTAAAATTACCCTAAGCTTTGCGAGATCCAAGATACACAGTGGTTAGGACAGTCGCTGGTGCACTTTCAAAAGGTCAAAGAGCTACTCTTCTACCTGACTATACTGAAATGCACCATATTACTAAAATGCTTTAAAGGTAGAGCTGCTGTTTTCAACAGTTTTATAACCAGATCAGAACACAAAACATAGGGAGATATACGATACCTAAAAGTGGTGGCCCCAGGAGGACAGGACAGCACTCCACAATGGTCACCAAGCCCACAGCACTGGAGAACCTCTGGGGTCCAACAAGGTCCATCAACGTTTCAAATAATACAGAGCTGAGCCAACCAAAGGCAAATCCAAAGACTCCGGCGTAGACACAGAACCCAATGTAGCTTGTAGACAAAGGTGCTAGCAAATGGCACACTCCATTTGCTACAACAGAAGCTGCGAAGAAGTACTGGATCCGAGGTCTGATCCACTTGGTGTTGGCTGCAAGTCCCATGGAAGGTCTGGCTACCATATCAACAAAAGCCAGAATGGAAAGGAGGAAGGCTGACTTCTCGCTGGAATAATGCTTACTCTTACCATAGTTACTAAGAAAGACCAAAGGGGTAAAGAGGCCAAAAAACATGACCACATTTCCAGACAGATACAGCAAAAAGCCTCTGTGGGCAAACAGGGACAAGTCCAGGAATTTATTAATTGTCTGTAAGACCGTCCGCTTTTCTCCTTTGGGGCCTCCTCCAATGAGATCTGTATGTGCATCAGACTTTCGAGATTCCTGAAGAGATTCTTTAGATGCTAGTTTCTCTATCTTGGTTGGTTTTGGCCCTATTGGTCGCATCAGGGACCCAGCTACACAACAGTTTAGTAGGAGGCCTCCAAGAATTAAGAAGCTTCCTCTCCAGCCAAAAATACCAAAGAAAGCCTGATTAAGTGGAGCCAGGGTAGAAAGGAACACAGGGCTGCCTGCCATGGCCAGTCCATTGGCCAATGGTCGCTTCTTGTAGAAATACTTGCCAATCATGGTCAGAGCTGGGTTCAAGTTGAAAGCAAGCCCAAGACCTAGGGAAAAGGAGCAAAGATAACATGGTGTCATAAACAGGAGTATCTTTGAAATTATTTACCAAGCAAAGACAAAAGAGGAAGTGGGGTGGCCAGGTGTGGTGGCACATGCCTGTAATCCCAGCACTCAGGGAGGCAGAGGCAGAAATAGGTGGATCACTGTGAGTTTGAGGCTAGCCCAGTCTACAAAATGAGTCCAAGACAGCCAAGGCTACACAGAGAAACCTGTCTTGAAAAAACAAAGATTAAGTGGGGCTAAAGAGATGGCTCAGTGCCTAAGGTCACGTACTGTTCTTGCAGAGGATCTGAGTTGGAGTTCCAGCATCCACACAGGGAAACTAACAATCACCTATAACTCCAGCTCCAGGAATTGTGATGCCTGTGACCTAGCTAAACCTGGTCCCTTGTTCCAGCTATATACCATAAGCCCTGTCTTTATTCAGCTATGTATAATTAACCCTGCCTTATTTAACTGTATAGAGTAACCATGCTGAGCTTCCTAGAGTTGCCTATCTGACCTCAGCTTTGCTCTGTATATAACTGTCCCCTCTTCATTCCCTCACTGCCCCAATCAGATCAATCCCTGGAGCAGGGCTGGACATTACAAGCTTTGTTCTGTCTCAAATACTGAATGACATTAAAAGCTGTTCATATGGTTAACTGAAAGAAAATAATGACAAAATATACAAAATCCTTTTTGGTCTAAACAAGCAAACATTAAAGGGTTAGGCTTGTACATTGGCCATGTTATAATATTCAACAGGTCATTTTCTTAATTTGATGACTAAATTGAAAAATGAGAAGGCTTATCAAGAGTACCCGTAAGAGCTGGGTGTGGTGATACACATCCTTATCCCTAGCACTCAGGAGGCAAAAGAAGGTGGCAAACTCTTGAGTTTGAGCCCAGCCTCGTCTACACAGAAAAACTCTGTTCGGAAAAAACAGAGTACCCTTAACTTTCAGACATGTTATCTGGATAGCACACTGTCCTATTCCTTTTAGGGAAAAGAGAAGGACAGAACAGCCAGTGACTAACCTTCCACAAATCACTGCGTAACTTTTATCTCACCTTGTCTATTCCTTTTACTGGTCTTCTCTGTGTAGTCCTGGCTGCCCTGGAACTCTGTAGACCAGGCTGGCTCTGCCTCCCTATTGCTGGGATTACAGGCCTGCGCCACCTGCCTTGCTATCACTGTCTATTCTTAAAAGGATGTGATTCTCTCTTCATTAAGTCAAGTCAGCAGCGACCACATGTTGTATAGTAGCACTTTATCCCCTTAACTCCAGCATGGGGAGGGCACACAGAGGCAGGGGCTCCGAGCTTGCGGCCAGTCTGCTTTACATAGCAACTTTCAGGCCAGCCAAGGATACACAGTCAACCCTATCATGTAAATAAAACAATTTTGTATGTGAGTGTGCACACAGACCATGGTGTGGAGGCTGCCCCTACTGGAGCCCTCTCCTTCCTTATACCATGTGGGTCCGGGGGAAGACTCCGGCTATCGCTTTAATCACTGAGCCATCTCGCTAGTACTCACTAGCAGCTCCCTAAAATGACAAGTGTATCATCAAACAGTGACAATAAATAAATAAGTAAATGAATAAATAAATAAATAAGTATGAAACGAAATGAACCTGTAGCCACTCACCTCCAATAACACCAATGCACAAGTAAAGTTCCGGCACTGTGTTACAGAAAGAAGCTGCGATCAAGCCACAACCAGACAAGCAGCCACCAGCAATCATTACTGGGCGGCTGCCATATTTATTCACCAGGATACTGCTGATAGGACCTAGGAGAGAATAAAAAATGTGGTATAAATTCCCGTATCCACACAAGAAGAAACAAATGTGAAGGCGGGTCATTTCAATTAGAGAACTAATGGTGTCCATCACCCATGGTTCGTAAGCCTGACAGTGCACTGTTGGCCGCTATGTGAGGCACGGTGCCCTCAAACTTTGCCTTGCTGGCTATGCTTTGCTTATCTTATGTAAACAATAACAAAAAGAAGAAAAGCTAACTCCTGCTGATTACAAAATCACATATTAAATTTCATTTATTTGGAATTGTAATAAAACACCTGAGTTTCACACTTCATAGATATGGACTTAAGGAAAGAATGACAGCTTACCAGACATTGTAATCTGCCTGATTACAGTAGATGACTGGAAATAAGCAAGGCTCTGGGTTTCATCTTCACATAGTAGGGGAAAATCGTGTAAAAATTCAACCCAAAAGCAAGAGCATTTACAAAGTGAATAAATTATAACTAATAAAAAATAAAATTTTCAAAAAAAAGCAAGAGTATTGAGAGACAGGGCCTGTAGGAAGTAACTGCTCAGAGCCTCGAAAGTCTATCAGGTATCTTTAAGAAAGAAGCCTAAGGGAGCAGATCTTTCCTTCTGCCACATGAGGTGGCCTGGAAGGCTATAAAGAGCAGGCCCTCGCCAGAGGCCTAATGAACAAAAATCACCACTTCATAGGGTCGCAGATCATTTGAAAACTTAAGTTTGGAGTCTGCATAGTGTCAAAGAACTGGACACTGACAGAATATCTGTACAATATTTTCATATGAATTATTCATGACATTTGATATAGCCAAAGTCCTAAAATAAATATTGCCCTGCTATTGTTCCATGAAGTTTAAGTTAGTTATCAATTTCATAATATCTGAAGTTCCCCCAAAAGGATAAAAACTAATCAAAAGCAACTAAAATTTTTCTTTGGCCACATGTGGTGCCTCACACCTTTAATTCCAGCCTTTAGAAGGCAGAGGCAGGAGGACTTCCGTGACTCTAAGTTACAGGACAGCCAGGGCTTCACAGAGACCCTGCTTCAACAAGCAAACAAACAGGAAACAAGAGTGCCCAGGTTAAAGGACTGATAGTTGTAAACATGATGAAAATTCTTAGGGGTGTATTATTTAGAAAGAATGGTCCTGATTAACTATCATTAAAACAGAGAGGGGTAGTTAGCAGGCACACTGTCACATGAACTTAGAGATGCCGCGCAGGTTAACTCATTAACTGGGTGAGAACAAAGGAGGAACCATCCCCAAAAGAAAGCACCATGTGCAGTGAGTGCAACTGACCTTCCCCCAAGCTCTGGCAGCTAGATGAATGACACTCTGGCTGGCAGTCTACGCGAACATGCAGAACACTAGTGTGGCTCTGGGTGTTTACACCAATTTGTTTTGGCTACCATAATCAAAACCTGTTTACAGAGATTCTGGCAAAAAAAGAGTCCAAACCCTAAAGATTACTAGCCCTTGAAAACTATAATGTCTGTGACTAGAGATGGCTCAGTGGTTATGAGCACTTGCTCCTCTTTTTAGAGGACCTGAGTTTGGTTCCTAGCACCCACAATGGGCGGCTTACAACTGTCTACATCTCCAGCTTCAAAAGTCCCATTGCTGTCTTCTGGCCTCTGTGCCACTACACTCACATCACAAAACCACAAAGAAAGTGACATATAATTTAGCCCTGAAAATTTATTTTAAAACATATTTATATAACCCAGAGACCTGTGTTTAAAAATGTTAAAGACAATAGTGACACATGTCTTTAATCCCAAGGCAGAGGCAAGCAGATGTCTGAATTCCAAGACATCCAGGCCTACATAGTGAGAATCGTGCTTTCAAAAAACAAGGGAGAGGCCAGGTGGTGGTGGTACATGCCTTTACTCCTAGCGCTTGGGAGGCAGAGGCAGGTGGCTCTCTGTGAATGACGCTAGTCTGTCTATTGAGCTAGTTCTAGGACAGTCAGGGAAACACAAAGAAACCCTGTCTCAAAAAACCAGCCCCCGCCTCAATTATGACTTCAAGTACACAGTGTTGTCCGTGGGCTTACATCAAAAAGAACAGCAGAATTAGTGTTCTCCCCCACAACAAGCAGCTCAGAGCTGCACGCGCTCCGGAGACCTCGTAAGGACTGCTGCTGGATCTGCCACCAGTTTAGCAGCCTAAGGCTAAGTTATTCACCATTGACAAGTAGAATCTTTCCTGTTAAACAGCTACACGTGAGTATAATCTGACAGTGAATTCTTAGCAAAAAATATCTTGTTAGATGTCCCATAAGACAACATGGAACCCTGCCAACCCAGCTAAACAAAAACGATCTGCCCCAGAACTCCTACTAAACAACCAACCGCAAGTTTTATGGCAGGTTTAACTTTCATGTTTAATTGTGGTTTGATGTCTCCAGGTAAAACAAACAGTGTTTTAAATAGGCAACTTATTTTCTACATAGCCTCCACACCATGCCAAAGAAAACAAAGGGGTCAGGGGAGACGGAATTCAAGTTTAAGTACGGCTGAAATGCTTTTAGAACCCATAACATCACAGGAACAAGGGAAGACCTTATTCAGCTTTTGTCGCTGGGTGTGTGCACGGGCCAAAGAGGTGCCAGCTGTCTTCACCGCTTCATGACTGAGGCACAAGCCCAGTCCCTAAAATTACAGATTTTACTCTAAACTATACATTATTCCAGACATTTGAATAGCTTTATAAAATCTTGCAACTCAGTATTTTAAAATGTTTACTTTTCAAGTATTTGGCAGACGGCAAGAAAAACCAGGTTTGCACACATCATTTTACGAGAGCTTTTAAAACACAGCTAATACTTGAGCTCCTCACACTTTCATTTCTGTTCCAAAAACCACAATGGAATGAAGGGAGTACGAGCTGCCAGTGTTATCAGGGACAAAAAGCATGCTGTAATAGAAAACTTCAGGAAGTAACACTTCAAAGCGCCTCATTGAGGAAGATATTAAAATGCCCAGACTCTGGCTACTCAATGTAAGTTAAGAGAGCGGTGGGTACTTACCTCCAGCATACATGACGGCCAGCATGATGGATGAGATCCATGACACCTCACTGGTAGTTGCACTGAATATAACTTCAATTTCTTTAAAGAAGACAGTGATGGATTTGGGAAACGCGTAAGAGAAGCCGATGGAAATGAAAGCTCCGACCACCACTGCCCATCCCCAGCCTCCATCTGGCGGGGTATATCCGACCGGTCCTCCAATTGCAGGTGGCATTTTAAGTGGAGATGTATTCCAAAATGCAGTGCAAATCTAGTAACTGAAGGATATGAAATGGAAAAAAAAACGTCAACAGAATAGCCCTCACAAATTCTTTTTCTGTAATAACATACATATTTGCTTGGCTTGATACGTGTCCATACTGAATGCCTTTTAACAATCAGTGACAAAGGAGATCTCTTGTTGGGGTATGTTTACTCAGGCCAGGGAAGGGTGCATAGTTAAGACCCTGTCTCCTAAAGGGAGGGGGAAAAGGTTTCTTTGAATTTTACTCTGTGATCTTTTTTAAATGGTTCTCTGGTTATCAGTGTCGGGCAGTAACTCTTTGTGGAAAATAAGCACCACTTACTCTAAAACGGCCAGTTCTCACAAGCACATAAAACCGATTTCTGTCAATAAAACCCCAGCCAATTGAAATCAATGTGCAGATACCTACTGTGTGACACCATCCCAATTCTAACTTGGAAAACAGAAAAGAAAGAGTTTAACTGTACAGATGAGATAAGGTTAGTGACCGTTCCGAGAACTTTTTAAAAAACTGGTTGTCCTGAGAATCTCATGCAATCCAGACTGCCTTCACACTCTTACGTGGCTGAGGTTGTCCTTGAACTCCTGATTTTCCTTCTACAAGTGCTGGAAATATATTTTTTCTACACACCCAGTTTTGTTAATACTATGTAAAATAATGAGTTTCACTGACATTTTCACATAATTTGCTCATATCTGCGCCCCCATTGTCTTGTCATCAGTCTGTCCCATTCTCCCCAAATCTCTATTCTGCCCTAAGATCTTATGACATACACAGGTGTGTTTAGAGTCCACCTAAGACAGAAGACACGACATCTCCCTTTTCTCACTTCAGTGTTCTACCCTAACCTCTTTTGATTTCTGGCACAAGGCTCTCCCTAGATCTACGCAATCACAGGAAACATTTCTCTTCCTTTGAGAACCCAGATTTTTACTGTAAGGGACAGAGAACCACAGTGCGACCCAGGATGAGTAAACCAAACCTTTCTTCAGTAATGTGGGTAGGTCAAAATGACCCCAGGGACCTGTTCTTATTAAAAAATACAGTTTTTACTTAAAGGTTCTTTCTAAATATAAGGATGTGGCTGATCCTTCTTTTAAAAACATAGCCTGTGTGTGTGTGTGTGTGTGTGTGTGTGTGTGTAAATCTGTTGTAGAGAATAGATAAAAACATTTTTATAAGCTAAAGTTTCTTAAAAGTTGAACCTGACTGAATAATAAAAAGCTCAACACAGCCGTGCTATTGGATTTAAATCTTTGAAGTACAAGTGCTCCAGGCACTCACTTTCTCTCCCCTTTATCTAACCATAAAGAGACTACTTAAAAATTTCCAGAGAACTACTGAAGAGATCAGGAGTATTTACATATATAGAATAACCCCTACACACAGACAGTGCTGTGTAACACATCAAGCCCTGACTAGAACAGCAATACGTGCGGGACGTGATTAAACTCCGCGCTTAGCTGCCAGCTATGATTTGTCCCAATTAAAAGACAGTTCTAATTTTTAGTCATGAAGACTTGCCTCATCAAGTTAAATAACACCTTTTCTACAGAATCCAGATTTTCAACTTAAGTAACTTTAGAAAGAGTCACAAGTAAGAGTTTCCAAAATATTTTAGGGGGTGGGGGGGGGGAGGGGAAACAAACATTCAAAAACCCACAAACAGATTCAATATAATTCTACCATCTGACAAATAATTGTTACAATTAACATAAAAATTCTAATTAGAAATCTCCATTTACCACCTCCCCCTGATGGGGGAGCAGCCTTACCAGGCCAGAGAAAGACAATGCAGCCAGTCCTGATGAGACCTGATAGGCTAGGGTCAGAAGGAAGGGGAGGAGGACCTCCCCTATCAGTGGACTGGGAGAAGAGCATGGAGGAGGTGAGGGAGGGAGGGTGGGATTGGGAGGGGAGGAGGAAGGTGGCTATAGTAGAGATAAAGTGAATAAACTGTAAATAATAAAAATCTCCATTTACACCAGCAGTTCTCTAACTTACACAGAAGGCCTCACCCCAAAAGTAAATCACAGGACTTGACCTTCTGCCTGTAGTTCAGGAAAAGGGAACACATACAAACTTCACATGTTAAAACTCAGGCTAAATGAACATAAGTTTTAAAGGTTTTGATCTTACACTGTGCAGCAGTTTAAGTGTTATTGCCTTAAAGTAACAGAGGGATTAAACTAAGGGAGAGAATAATGAGAAAATGTGCCTTCTAAGAAGCCAAGCATGGTGGGGCATGCCAGAAATGGCAGCACTCAGGGCAGGAGACTTAGCTCAGGCAGGTACATGACTATAAAGCAACACCACAAGGGAGTAGGGCAGGAAACAGACACTAGGAAATAAGCTCTGCACCACTCTTTCACTGGAAATGACAGTAGAAACAAAAGCTTTGTTTTGTTTTGTTTTTTGTAGCCTTGGCTGTCCTGGAACTCATTCTGTAGACCAGGCTGTCCTGGAACTCACCTGCCTCCTGAGTGCTGGGATTAAAGGTGTGCACCACCACCGTCCAGCATCTTATTGTTTACATTTTTATTGTTTTTATTTTTCCTCAGATGTGGTCTTACTATATAGCCCTGACTGTCCAGGAGCTCACTATGTACACCAGACTGGTCCTGAATGCTGAGATTCAGCTGCCTAACTGTTTGGGAATTGTTTCAAACCATTAATCCCAGCACTTGGGAGGCAGAGGCAGGAGTATCTCTGTGAGTTATGAGGCCAGTTTGGTCTGCATAGTGAGTTCTAAAAACAGCCAGATCTACATAGTGGGACCCTGTCCTCCCAACTCCCCCATCCCCCCAAAAAGCCCCCCCCCCCATTATACTAGTGGGCTGGAGACATGGCTCAGAGGCTAAGAACACATACTGCTCTTGCAAAGGGCCTGAGTTCAGTTGCCAACAGTCACAGTGGGTGCTTCATGTAAGCCCCAGGCTATCCAACTCTGAGGCACACACAACCACAGGATCATTCTCCCACAGACACGGGGGTTAGGGGATATGAATGCAAACAAACCCAACCACCATTTCCTAAGGGGAAAACAGCCAACTTGTGAATATAAAAGATATAGAATGTATCTAAAGCTCCTTATACATTACTAAGCATAAACTACTAGTGTTAGGCTTCAAATTCTGACAATCAGATCCATAAGGCTTATTTAACCTCCCATTAAACTGTTTTGACCTAGCTCTCTGTCCTCTAGAATAGCTCCAAGTTAACTTCACTAGGAAGTCTGTCTGTTCTTTTGTCTTTTTTGCACATTAAATTGAATACAATCACACACACACACACACACACACACACACAATGAGAGAGTGAGAGAGTGAGAGAGAGAGAGAGAGAGAAGAGAGGAGGGAAGGAGAGATTATGAAGGAATTAGGAAGTGTATCTTGGTCACAGAACGTAAACGTGACATGAACAGGCCCCTAGGTTTAGTCCCCAGCAGTTAGTCACTGCCTCCCTAACCTCCACCCCCACCCCAAAGAGGAAAAAAAAAAAAAAAAAAAAAAAAGGAAAAAGCATCTATGAAAAAGCAGAATTCTGAATACTGGATCTGACTCACAAAATTATAGCATGTTTAGTTTTTCATCATACTATATAAAGACACAAAGTGTAATCTTGCCTCTACAAACTTCTTGCCTCTGCCTTCAGAATATCGGAATTAAAAACATGCACCATCTTGCTCAGCTGACACTGTTGATAAGACACCACACTATTTGGCTAGTATAAAAAACAAACTCCAAAGTTGCCCTCTCTTTCATACACAGCATGAACACAGCCCATCCAAATAATTTAAAAATGTCATCAGTCAAGACATAAAAGCAGCACCTGGAGAGATGGCTCAGTGGTTAAGAGCATTGTCTGCTCTTCCAAAGGACGAGGGCTCAATTCCCAGCACCCACAGGGAGCTCACAACCGTCTGCAATGCCCATTCCAAGCGATTTGACACCTTCACATTAATGCACATAAAAAATAAATTCTAAAAAAAGACAAAAGCAACCTTGTCAATCAATGGTACCCCATGCAATGGAGTATTAATAAGCCCAAATAAAAAAAGAAAATCATTTGTGACAACATGGATGGAACAAACCCAAGAACATTTGCTGAATAAAATAAACCAGATTCAGAAAGATAAATACTGTAGTTTTGTGTCAGTTCAAGTGTGATACTCTTCTATCTTATGAGTGGCTTTTCGTAAAAGACTTAATGCTAAATACACTGAACACCAACCAGGCAAGCATTCAACCACTGAACCATATACCCAGCCTTTAAACAGCCTTCCTAATTGCTGATGATACAAACCTTACCCTATGTTGTCATTAAAATAATTACTAGGTTTTAATTAGAAATATACAATTTCCAAATGAGTATTTGATTTTTTTTTTGTTAGAGTGATTATTAAATGACTTGCTTCCCTTCTACTCATCTGAGATTTCTAGGTGACAGAGTGATAATAAAGTACTAATATAATCACAAGAGGCTGTTTCTAATCTGCAAGGATTTCAAACCTGAGGTTCAATGACCTCTTTAGATTCTTCCAGCTGAGCTGTTGAAGAGAAGGTTTGAATGAATTTTAAATATATTTGCTGATGTGAACCTACTGGAAACAGGGCCAGAAAACCCAAGTCAAATTAAGATACCCAAATTAAGATAATTGGTGGCACATACACTTTCTAATTAAAGTACTCTGTCTGCATTTGTGAAAAATCACTCTAGGTGGCCAAAGAATCTACTTATTAACCTGTGACATCATGATTACATAATCCTATGAGGACAAGATCTCTGCTGTGTAGCACCATGATAGGCTCTGCTAGCCTCACTCTCACGAAGAAATAGCAATAACCCTTTCCCTAAAGGCTGTCAGGTTCCTGTGGCAGTTGCGGTAAAATCTGCACACTTTTAAACTGGGAATGGCAGGGCACACCTGTAATCCCAGGAGGCTGAAGGAGGATGAAGGGAGCCACAAATCTGAGGTCGGTGTAATCTGCAAAGTGAATTCAAGACCAGCC